TATAGAATTTATCTGAAACTGAATACCACACACTATCAGGATGAGGTGTTTAAATGCTGCAGTTACTCTACAAGTAACTTTATATCTAGAGAGAATACATGTCTATATGTAAAGTTTGGGTAAGCATAGCATGTACAATATGGAAAAACAAGTCTTTCTGGGCAAAACACAATAGTCCTGTGACTGTAAAATGATGCAAAATCTGCTTTTTAACTCAGCCTCGCCCTTCACTAGGGACGGCTCAGTGTCTCCTTTACTATACAACCCGGGGATGTGGAACGAGGGGGAGGTTGCGAGTTGCAGGGTTGATGCCACAATACCACGTGAGCTCTCACCGCGGAGACTTTCTGGAGCCCGCTTTCCTCTTGCACTTGAAGAGCTGGTCCAGGGTCACCAGCAGGACCCGACATGTTCCGTCAGCTCAGCCACGCATCTGAGAAATCGCTTTCCTAAAACCAAGGCGCAAGCAGCTCTGTGTGGGTCACTTAGATTTCGTTTTCTACTTTTTTGTTGTTTTTCCACAATGTCAAAGAAATCCTACTTTGAAGTTTCAAACACCTGCACCTTCAGACAGCAGGGCCTCATGGTGGGTGGATGCAGTTTTGTGAACAAGCAGCATCCCCTGGGGAGACGAAGGTGGCTCGGCCATCTCCCGAGAGGCCCGGAGAAGCCTGAGCAAGTGAGCAAGTGACCACACAGGTCAGGGGGCGGAACGGGCACGCCAGGAGGAAAACACAGGCTTTCAGCGGCAGTGTCCTGAGAAATACTTTTACTAGAGCGTGAGTGGCCCTAGCATGATCACCTGTAGGAAGTCCTCCATCCCCATGCACAAGTTAACTTGACTAAACAGCCACCGTGTTCTGGGTAAAGCTGAAAGAAGTATGCTTTTATAAATAAGGCCCTACGATAAAAAGTGTTACTAAACTGTGTCATTTTCATCAGGAACTTCAATGCGGACTATCTTCTAGATACTCACAGAAGTAAGAAGCAGGTAGGTATTACTCCCAAACATTGCCCGTGTCTGCTAACCACAGCACAACTTAATATCCACCATAAAGGCATTCTCTCCTCATCGGTGAGCCTGCACCCCGCCTCTCAGGTAAGGTGTGTGTTGTATACGGACAAGGTCTTTGTCACAACCTTTGTGTGTGTACACAACTCCACAGCATAAGTTGTAAGAGGTCAAGCTTTGGACTGAGAGAGACCTGGCTGGAACCCAAGCTGGCAGGCACATGCTTCAGCCAAGTTCACCCGACCACCCTGAAATGTCAGCGATTAAATGCAGAGCCAGGCTTGCAGCAGCTGCTATTATTACTTGAGATACTTCCTCAAAAACCAGTTTAACCTGCTGCAAAAGGCGCAAATCAAATGGGTAAGATTAAGGAATGAGAGACTAACAACGTCAACAAAATCTGGGTCTTGAATGATGGAATTTTCTTTCCAACTAAGGACAGTGGATGGTCTTTCTCTAAACTGATATACAGAGAACTATTTTTCTACCAAATCTGCTCAAAGGCTGTGTGTAGTGGATTTGCACGGTAGTGTTGCACGTTAGTGTCACAACAAAGGACAAACTACGCTGAATACCTGCATCAAACCCAGAGCCTGGAGGACAACAGACAGACACAGCTTCACAGGGTCGCCCTCCGTCTAAGCAGTGTAGGCAGTTGGGTGTTAATTAGGTCTAAACGATTGTTCTGAAAAATCAGCATGAATCAAAACAGACTAGAATGCAGAAGTTCACCTTCATGATCAGAAAAATCAACTTCCACTGACCCCAGGGAGTGATGTCAGACTTACCGGCAGGTCAACAGCGACCTCAGCGACCTCAGCAATGCGGGCAATGGCTGGCCCATGACTGGGCTACCGCAGACATTAGGATGGAGGGCGAGGAGCCCACTGCGCTGTGATAACCCTGAAAAGCTTTTGGCTCTGGCTGTGAACACATTGGCATTAACTTAAATCTGTTGATTCATTTACAACAGGAGATATTTGCTGTGCTTCTGTCTAAATGGAGTCCTTAAGGGACCCAAGATTTAAAGAGTGCAGGTCAAGGACAGCAGCTCGCCACCACTGAGGCCCCGGGAACGCATTTCTGCCTTTCCTCTTTGTTACATCTCTTTCAAAACAGTGACGCGGTTATCAGATCTCTGTCTCCATACTGTTAGCAGTCAGGCCTAATTTCCCTTCCCCTCCATAACCTGGGGCTTAAAGTAAGAAGTCGGCTGCGGGGTCCCTGGAAGATGTCACCATTTAGCAATGTCACACAGGCAGCCACTTCTGTCCGAGCCGGACAGAGAGGCTCCTGAGAACAGTGCTCCATTATTCCGGCTGAAACCACTCACAGCTTCCAGAACTGATTTGTCCCAGTGTGTCCCTGTCCTGCAAGGTCCAGAATGAAAAGCCGGCCAGCAGCTACTTACTCTTGCTTGACATCCAGGGTAGAATGAGAGGGCCTCTGTCTCGCTGAGTTTTCCAAAAATGTGACTGAACACCTAGTCTAGGGATGTGTCTGTTGTCTTTATAAATAACACTGACATAGATGAATCACACTCGACACTTACTCCCGTTTACATCGAGCCCAAACAAAAACGTGAATCCCGCCCTGAGCAAGGTTAGGTGACTAATTCACAGGTGAGGCTCTGCTCCATGTGGGATCTCGCCGCAGCGCTGGTGACCTCTCAGGCCTCCTGTAGGCAATGTCACACTCTGTATATTCCATCATTCAAACTATAAACATTCTTTGGAAAACCTCTTTTGGGTCTAGCAGTAATCCAAAGAGAGTCAGTTAAGCTGGAACTTCATTTTAAATTAGACATCTTTTACATGGCTTTAAATTTGCCACCACGAACAGGGCCTGCCTCAAGAAAGAACATTAATGCGACCCAGAAAAAACCCAAGCGGGAGAAGCTCTACATGTTCCTGTGTGTCTGATCCCTGCCCTGGCCAGGTCCACACTCCTGCAGGCAGGATGGGAAACTAACAGGGCGTTTGAGAGGCTATCGGACTGACCCAGGCGCTCCCCTAGGTAGATGGGGCCTAACTTCCTCATTAAGGACTCAGAATCTATTCCAAGATGTTCCTAGGAACTGGCACAGCGGCAATCTAACTATCCTGTTAATGCCACAGCTAAATAAAAATAACCTGGCATTGAAAACACCGATTTTGTAGGAACGTGCTCTCCCGTAGGGTATGTGATTGCAGGTGTGCTGAGGGGAGTCGGGGTCTGGTCCTGACTCTGTGCCTCATCACCTGTGCCACGCCCGTTTTCCCATCTGTAGGAAGGGAGGCGCTGTCAGTCTGTCCAGCTGCACCCCTGGCTGCAGTGGCTTCCCGGAGAGGTGGCTGGGGCGTGGCCGGCCTCTGCGGCACTCACAGCCTTGGAAAGTAGCCAGGCAGGAGCAGACCCAGGTGAGAGAGCTATGCGAGGGAGGCGGCACAGCAGCTCTGCCATTTCTTTGCATCACAGTGCATTAATTTTTGAAGAACTCTGAACTCCCACAATGGGCATCTGTATCCCGAAAAGCAGGCACTGGGTGCTGGCAGGGAGATGAGGGCTCCTGGCTTTTATGGCCAAGGAATCAATGCACCCAGGCATGGGCGTGGCTTCAGGGAGATGGGTCTGGCTTATGCCCAAAAAAGGGGTGTGGCTCCCTGGTGGAGGCGGGGGAGGGGGCACCCTGACCACCCCTGTGCCCGCTTTGGTCGCCCAGGACACCTGCAGTCCTGGCATCAGCTCCCGGGAGGCGGCTGACAGTGACGAGTGGTGATGGCAGCCCTGGCAGCGCAGAGCCAGCTTCCCCCAGCGTCCCGGGAGGAGGGGCAGGTGGAACCTGCCTCTGCCGTGGTTCAGGGCACCGGGGCCCTGCCTCACTAGCCACGCGTGCACTTGAAGCTCACGCTGTTCAGTGGCGACTCGGCCAGTCAACAGCCCAGATCCCGCTCTGCGGGTGAGGCCAGAGCCCGCCCAAGGCTCCGCGTCTGTTCCCGAGGTCGTGCTGCAGAGGCCCGGCACCTGCCCACCCAAAAGTCCCCTCCGTGCCCAGAGGTCCAGAATCAGTCTCTGGCCCCAAAGCCTGCAGTTCTTACAGAGACTCACAGAAAAGACCAGGGTGATCCCTACAAACAAAAGACTATTTTCCTGGGGCTCAAAGACTCAGCTTAACGGTTTGATATTTGCTTTTTGTATTGCGTGTGACCATCTGCCTCGAGGCCCCCGAGCTCTGCCCTGCTCACAGGAAACACCCAGAAGAAGTCACCTCCCACACCTGCCTCCGCAGCCCCCCCACCTCCAAGTTGGGCTTAGAGTGAATGAGCAGCGGAGCCCAGGGGGAGCAGTGGGGTGTGGCCGGACTTGCTCCTGCTCTGCAGAGGCCACACCTAAACATGGCAGAGAATCGCTCCCGACACGCCTCGGGGACCTGATGCTCGGCAGCAAGAACACAACAGCACAGGCCGGGCTTAGAGAGAATCCCACCTTCCACGGCCGCGCCTGTTTGGCCAGCTGGGACTGCCTCAGTTTATCAGAAACGACCCTGAGCTGCGTGCTCCTTACGGCTGGGTGGCCCTGCTTCTCTCCCACCCAGGCACCCATGGCAGCGGGAGGTGGCGGCAGGGACTGTTTCTCAGTGTCTGAAACAGAAGCAGGGTCTGGCGGGAGGCACCACCCTGCCCCTCCCTGCCCCTCCCTGTGACCATTCAGAAAACACACTCCACCGGGTCTGGAGTCTGAGATCATTCACTTTAACCACATTTGGCAAATCTGCCCTAAATCACACAACTAGGAAACGCAAACCACAAAAACACATCACGTGAGAAGGATCTGAAATCAGGCCTGGGGGACATCGTGGGCACTGCCTGGGAGCCCAGGGACGTCTGGGAAGCAGCGCCGCCCCACCCAGATGCGGGGACGGGGATTACAAAGGGCTCCCAGGACCCCGGTCACAGCTGCACCCCCTCCCACCTCCTCAACCCCGAACAGGGCCCCCTGAAGCACTTACTGGGAGCAGCAGCCTCTGTGTACCCCGAGCCTGAGTCACGCAGCAGGAGGGCCCCAGAGCCTGGACAGAGCCCCTAGCTCCCGGCAGGCTGATGTCCCCGAGACAGCAGCCCAGCAGCCGACTTTCCAATTACAGCCTGAGACTGCGATCCATGTGCTCCCGGCGGCCAGTCCCGCTGCCCACAGCGTACCACATGATCCACGGTGACATCACAGCACCCGGCTGACAGCCCTCCGCCCGCCCTGCCGCTCACAGAGTGAGCCCTCCTTCCAGGGGGGCCTCTGCCTGGATTTAAGCAGGTAGCAGAGGAAGGAACAGTTGTTTTGTCACACACATAAATTTTTTTTTTGTCTGATTCCTCGTGTTGCTAAAAGAAGAGGAAAAATAAGGAAGGACAGCACTTGGGTGTTTGCAGCCAGCACTGGCCAGCTGTGGGAAGGACCTGGCGGCTCAGGGCTCGGGGCAGTGAGGAGGGAGCCCTGCATCCCGGCGGGAGTGATGTCACCGGCAGGCACCACCCTCACCGCCCCCGGACCATCCTCAGGTCTGTGCACACACATTCAAGTCAGAAAATACCGTGGGTTTCGCCTGGACTTCATTGGAGCTGGCCACCGCTGCTCCAGCTCACGGACAGTTCAGGGCCGTGCGCAGCGACTCACTGTGACACCCACACAGCCCAGCAGACAGACAGAAGGCAGGAAGGCAGCGCATCTGTCACACTTGCCTTCATTCGGCAGCAACCACTCACTCGTCACCTACGAGGCCCCGAGCACAAAGGGGTGAACGTTTGAATAGTCTGCGTATTTTCAAATAAGATTTTTTTTTATTTAGCACAGGGCTTCTAATTCCATTTCCGTGACAAGTGGGGAAGGAAAAGCTTTATCAAGGCTCCTCGCAATATGCTCTGTGTCTAATGCTGCCTCTGAAGACTGATCACAAAGCCACGTTCTATCCTAACTTCATTATGAGGAGTGGTTACTGGATGTAACCTTTAAGGTAACAATCAAAATTACTAAGCTTTTACGAAGCATAACCATAGCCGAGCTCGGCAGCAGCGACCAGAAACACAGCCCTTCTCCAACTTCGCCCCCTTGTCACATTGCTTCCCGTGACTCTTCATCAACTGTAGGTCAGATATTTGTACAGACCAGGACCCACTGGCCAGCTTATCCACCCCATGGCCACCCAGCATGTTGGGTCACGCATGGTGACTCAGACATACCGGGTGTCAATAGCAGTGAGAATCAATGAACTGGCTCAGTTTGATCCTGTATATGGCTCATTCCCAACAAAGACAAATGGACATCAGTTTTCCCAAGGAATAGAGTACAGAAAGCCAGTCACAGGCAACCGGTCACCTTCTCAGTAAGCACAGGCTTACAAAACAACAGGTGACAGAAATTTCATGTAAAATGACACATGGGCTATTAGGTAAGCAATTCTATAGATTAACAGATTCTTACTACTTTACACTGTTTCCATGACAAGTAAGATATGCACATACTATTTAAATACTGATATTACAGCTTTAGTAGATACATAAGAAAATAGCACCATCCACTTTAAATGTAAGAAACAAAGGCAAAAGGACAGAGACCAGCAGTGCTCACAGGCCTGGTTACTCGGAGAGAGCACATGGATAAACAAGGACAGGGGAACATGCCATTTCTACTTGAAAGTGGCTCTTTGTTTAGAGTTTGTTTGGCATTTTGCTCACCTTTAATTCATAAATATAATTAACTTTGAACATTTTAAAATAATACTTCCCAGGAATGTGTCTGTCCCAACCCCCCAACCTTCTGCCACCGTCCCCCTGCACGGGTGAAGGACAGCAGGCAATTTGGCCTCAGAGACGACACGCTGCTTCCGAAACCTGCACAGCCCGGACAGGGTGTGTAGTCAGAAGGCTCCCGGGACGGCTGAAGCCCTCGAGCAGATGGAGCTGTCGTGGGTCTCCTGTGCATGGCCTGTGTGCGCCGTCCTCCCAACAACACTGAGCCACTCTTTGACCTAAAACCCTCCATGGTTTCCCATCTCATTTCATTCCTGCGCGCAGCCTGCAAGACCATCCATCTGCAAAGTGTGGCTGTTTCCCCAGCATCTTCCTCTCCCGGAAGTGACATGCTGACCAGTACGCTCCCGCTGCGCTGCTGCTCTCCAAGCAATTAACACTCATTTTCTGTAACTGATACATCCCATAGGACTGGTGAGCCGATCAGAAAGGAACTACCGAGGGGCCTGCTTCCTTGGTGATGTATTTGGGCTGGATTTCTTTCTGCCTGTCCTCAGATGCCGCTCCCACCATGGAGCAGCGGGGTGTGGCCCTGTTAGCAGATCCTCTCTGCTTAAAAGAAGATGCTCACTCTGACTGTTTTCCCCTCATGCTGAGCACAGGCCCACCCATGACCCACACACTGTGACACCCACACCACAGGAGCGTGGAAGGAAGGGGCCCCTAAAACCACAGACCAAGCAGCTCTTCCCTCCCGAACCATATGCTCTGGACTGTGCATGAGGGAAATATAAATTTGCTCTTTAAGACACTTCTTTGTCACAGTATCTTAAGCCCCATCCTAACTAGTAGAACTGGCTGAAACTTCTTAATACCACAGCTTAATTCATATTGTCCAATAGTTTAGCACAAAGCCAAAAACCAAGTGACATGTCCACTGCTGTGTGCGGGCTCCCAGTTCCCCTGCATCTGGGCCACACTGGAGCTTGTTTCTTCTAACAAACGTCAGCTCTGATAAAGGAAAGGAGCCCATTCTCTCCACGATTGGGAAGCTGATCGTGATTCAGTATCGACTGCTCACTGGTATTCCATCTTTTGAGAACTGCTTGTTCACGTGTGTGGTGTTTAATCTTTATTGTATTATTAGTATTTGTCTAATTGTCTATTCTATTTACTGTCATAGTTTCTCTTTAATTCTGCTTTGGAGAAACACATTGAAATGTTTTTATTGTCATCAAATTTTTATAATATTTCCATTGTAATTTGTTCCACTGAAAGCTTTCCTAGCGCCCACATTTTGAACCCTAAATACTGTCCCCACTAGAAAGCACCTGACTCATGGGAGGAAAGGCTGAGTCAGGTCTGAAGTGAGCCCAGGACATGGCCTTCTGCCCAAAGCAAGGAAAGTACTGAAGAGCAGTGGCTGTGGCAAAGCACCTGGGAGACCCAAAGGCTGCTTCATCCAAGCATCTGTCCTGCTCACATTTATTCTCTAGAAGTCAGTCTGGGCAGGGCTCAGGGGTCAGCCGCTGTTCACTCTCCTCAGCATCAACCAGGCATCTCAAAAGCTGGAGGCTGACAGCTCCCAGGGGCTTATCACTCACCCAGGAGTCTGTGGCCAGGACTCGCACGGCTAAGGGACGGACAACTGGGCTCCTTCGTCATCTCTCTGCATCGGTGTCATGGTCCAATACACTTCCTGAACGTGGTTGCTTCAGGGGGCTTGCGTTTCACTAAAAGCACACGTCCCGAGAGAGTGCTAAGGGAAGTGCCAGAGCCACGTACAGATCACATTAGGAGGCATGTGGGCCCAAGCACACTGTCACCTTCCTCAGCAAAAGCCATCTGCCACAGCTTCATGCAGAGCACTAAAGTGACTGACGCACTCAGATCTTAAAAACCCCAATGACACTCAACACAGGAAGCAAAAAGCACATTTGCCACTAACTGAGATGCCCATTATTATACCAATTCCTTACAGAAAAAATTGGTAAAGAGAGATTTAAGTATTCTTTCTCTACCACATGGATCCCTATCTCAGAGCAACAATTAGCTCCAGCTCCTCAGACAGAAGTTCATGATGAACGAAGGCAAAGGTCTGACAGGGCTGGAGGACACCCGTCTGCGCCCAGCAGGCAGAGATGGGCTGCTAAGTGCACTGGAGTCAGGTTGGCAGACTGGACAGTAATTTATGCCGTTACCAACACAGAATATTTACTTGTCTCAAGGGGGAAAATCGCAACTTTATGGGGAATGAGGTGGCAATTTTCACAGACCCACTAACCCAGTGATGGGGCTCAGTCTCATAAAAAGCAAAAGAACCAGGAACCGTGCAGCTCCTGACACAAAACAACAGAATGGTCCCAGCATCGCCCACGAAACACTCCGACTGGAATGTTCTACCTGACTTTAGTCCCAACCTGAGCACACGGACACTATCAGCAGCTGGGGCCAGCCTCGGTTTCCTCCCCTGGAAACAGGACTAGATGTCATCATGTCAAGTCTCTGAGCAGCCTCCCAGGACACAGCTCCTGGGAAACGGACTGGATTGGATTTGAGCTGTCTGCCGATCAAGGTGGGGCTGGGAATGGGGTGCAGTGGAGAGTGGTGACCTCCATTCCTCTCAACTCTGTTGGGAGGTAATGTCCCCACGGGGGCACTTCCATCCCCACTGCGAGCATTCTGCAGCTTAGTCTCCAAAGGAATCCCAAGGAGGTAGGATGGATGTGTGGGGAGGCGGGAAGGGGACCAAAGCCCACACAGTAGGCACCAGACGCAGCACTGATGTCCCCTTTACTCTCATCCTCAGAACAAACACGCTGTCCTCAGCTCAGAACAATTAGCATTTCCCAAGCAGTGCTGCTGGCCAGTCCTAGGACCGGGCCAGACGCCACCGGGCGGACTGCAGCCCGGCTCCTGTGAGCACTCTCCCAGTTGCCCGAAGAGCCCACGTCCGCCGCTGTCTCCTCCCGAAATCGGAAAACTATACCCACACTCTGACGGTGGCAGGCGCAGAGGGCTCCTGGCAGCAAGTCCACCCTCTACTGGAAGCAGTTAAGATGGATTCCCGGCTGGGAGGACTGCGGGCAACAGCATCGCCTTTGCATTCAGCGCCTCCCTCGGGAGAACAGACACAGAGCCATCAACTCACGTTGGTGAAAGAAATTAAACCTGACGCCTGAAGATCACTATGTGAAAACTCAGGCTTGGATTCTCTACCCCCTTGTAGGCTTAATGACACTTAAATTGCATCTCCAGGAGTCTGTCATGGGGTTGGTTTTGCTTTATCAGCTAGAAATAGGCAAAGCAATAAACAAATAACCAGTCTGTTTTATTAATCGTTTAATCAATTCAGTATCTTCCA